TCTAAGGGTGGTATGTCCTGATGGGGGCGAGTACTCCTTTCCATTTCTCTTTTTGTCTTTCTCTCTGTTTCCTAGCAGCCATGAGAAAGCAGCTCTGTATAGCATGGCTTTCTGCCTCACCATAAGCCCAGGTACAATGTAGCTAAGGCACCATGGAGAGAAACTTCAGAATCTGTAAGCCAAGATAAACCTTTTTTCCTTTAAGTTATTCATTTGAAGTACTTTGTCACAGTGATTAAAAGTTAAACACAGTGGTCATGATTTCCCTTCCCTAGTTTAGACCCATAGAATCCCCTGGCAGTGGGTTTAAGGAAGTGATTGGTTAGTCATTCCTATAGTTAGGCAATGTTCCATGGACTGTCGTCTCTAGGCAAGGGAGATTATTTTTGTGGTTCTGGCCTAATCCAGTGAGCCCTTAAACATGACTAGTCTCCTCATTAGAAAAGGAGGTTTGAAGTATGAAAGAGTATCAAACCAAGACAGATGCTGCACTGATGAGTTTAAAGATGGAGGGGCCCATGGGAAGCCAACAAGAAAGGACTGTAAGGTCTTTAGTCCTCCACAACAAGATGAATGCTACTAATAACCTGAATGAGCTTGGAAATGGATTCTTTTCTGCAGCTGGCAGATGAGAACTCACCCTAACTGGAACTTCGAGGGTTGGACCCTTAGTAGAGAACCCAGTTGACTGGTCTGTACTTCTGACCTACCGAAGTGAGAGCTTAAAAAAAAAAATCAGTGTTGTATTACACATCTAAATTTGTAGCAATCTGCTATGTTGTAATAGAAAATTAACAAACTAACACAATGACATTCCAATTAAATGTGATTTAGAATTTTCTAAAAATCTTCCCTGTCTTTTCCTGTCTTTTTCAAAGCCTCAAGCTATTTTTTCACCATCCAGTTTTTTAATGCAACTGGGAAAATGTAATTTTGTCAGACTAAAATCTCTCCTACCATGGAACTACCCATTCCATCCCCGACCACACATACATTTGGTTTAAGATGTAGAGGTGTATGAATTTTGGGTGCATTCTATACATGTTCAGGCTGGAGAATCAAACCAGAAAACACAGATGTCAAAATGGAAACAAATGATCTGTACATTTTGAAGTAGCCAAGATATGTTTCATTCATTGCATCTACTTATCCTGAAATACAGTAACCTTGACATCATGGTTGAAGAAAAGGGAGAAGCAATGTAAGCATAAATGCCCAAGCATTTTAATATCTTTTATCAATAAACATTACTCGATGCCATGCATTTGAATTCATGTTTTTCCTAAGGGAAAACTGCATTCTGCCTCCTGCTTCCTGACACTGCAGCTGGATTTGATTATATGGGTAGGGTGCGCCGTGGGAAGCAAGCCTAAACTTTCTAAGCTACAGACAGAAGGCTGATCTTCATTAATTAGATGGTGAGATTATGCAGATCAAGCACCGTACTATTATATACAGCATGGTAGGAAACACTATTACTTGGCTTGTTGATAATATACCTAGGTGCTTGAGTTAAGACTTATTTTGATACTTTGTCAGCCGCAATGGCAGGGTTTGGTGGCAGGTCAAAAATCAGATCATATTGTGACTTCTGTTTGATGGTTGAGAGAATGTTCTGCAACAAAGGGAACTGAAAATGCAGCCTAATGCCTTTCTAGCATTTAATTCAGAAAAAATTGTCCTCTCCAGCAAAGCTTAACTCAGTGCTACTACATAATGCAGATAAGTGAAAATATTAACAACTCAGTGATTCATAAGGAGGACTCACTATTTAAAACCCATATTTTCTGTCTATGTGAAAACCATGGAGTTAGATGAAGAGAGATGCTGCCTAATTTCAGATTTAAGCAAATGTGCACAATAGATTTTAGAACGAAGGATGAGTCCATGGCAACAAAACCTTACCTGAATAACGATGAACTCTTAATTAAAAGAAAGAACTCTAGGGGGAAAAGACACCTAAAAGGCTATAATCTAGAAAACCTTCAAAGTCAGAGGCTCCAGGTAAGTCATGACTTGGCTCTAACCAACATTAACCAAAGTCTTCCAAGGTGCTACACTTAGCTCTGAAGAAATGCTCTTACAAAGCTATTATGCACAGTAATTATCATCCTTGCCTGCTTCCACTTCTTATACCTGTGTCTTTGCCATGTGTATAATTATGCCGAGAAAAAACACCCCAAGCTGAAGCGAAATAAAGGACTTCAGTTTATGCCCACACGGACCTTGTCAAGTAGCCAATGACTTGCCCTTTCATTGTGAGTGACTAATATCAATGCTGGCTCTAAAGAAAGACACTTTTCATAATCGCCCAACAATCTGCTAAGTGAAAACATATGGATGGGCTTAGGCAAAGCCTGCCAGGGGTCTTTGCTGAATGGAAAACAGGTGCTGTCATTCTGTGCCATGTAATACCCCATTTACCCCCAAGTCCAAAGGTTAGAGGACTAATAGCTGCCTTGTGGTAATCAGGGAAAGCCAAGACACTAGCCCTGGTGGAACATCTGGGACATATTTTACATACTTGCAACACATGCTTCAGGTTCAATTAAAGTGAGGCTTTGGCACATTTATTAATCTTTTTTACTTTTATCCTATAAGAGGACCCACTGACCTGACCCCACTATTATACCATATGAGAAAACAGAGAGATAATGAGAGCTAGAGGTCAGTACCTGCTCGTATGGCAAAAAACACATTTATTTTCTCATGAAATTCCATTACGCATGACTCTATACACAAACTTTAAATAGAGGAACCAATGAATTTTTCCAAGTAGGAAATTACCCTTCTTCTGTTTGGACACACCAATAGCCAAAACTTACTACATTTACCGCATTGCAAGCCAGTGGCAAGGGAGGCCGGCAAAGGGAAGCTTGCAGCAACCTCTCATATTTCCATGTGTTAGAGTGAAAACTTTACATTTCAAGATGTCCATGCCAAGATTATCTATTCTGTTATGGAAGAACTTAAAAGTTTGTCATAAATACCTGCCTTGGAGACTCTTTGCTCAAATATCACTGTTAGGCTATCAACTGCATTATGAATAAAAAAAGAAACATCTCACATATAATTCAAATAAAAGGCTCAGAGTCATGAGAAAGCAGCTTATAATCCTTTTACATGTTCATTGGCGTCTTATACAGAAGAGTACAGTTGCATTCGTGTGGCAATTTTAGCACTCACTTTCCATCAACTTTGGTAACTAGATCTGAAAATGCATTAGAGCCCGGGTGTCAGTTTCAGACAACCAAACACTAGATTACAATAGATGCTGCTCCAGAGATTTGGTGGGGTTTGCACCCTGCCACGTTCCACTTGACGTCTATGTTTTGGTGAGCCACTTAGCTGGGTCTGTCTGTCTGTGTCTCATGCCTCAACTCTCTCCATGAAAACACGATCATAAAAGGGAGATTAGAGGTATAGGATATCCACAAACTGGCTAGTAGAGCCGTAGGCTGACTTCAAGAAGGGACAGTGAAGCAGCAGATTTTGCTGAGGGCTTCCATTTATTAGCATTTCTGGGGAAATGCCTGCTACCAGAATGGATCTTTATGGTGGCTTTAATAATAAAGCAGGAACAAGCAAGGGAAAAATGGCCATAAATGGATGGCTGCTCGGTGTTTATCAGCAAAGAAATGATGATTCAGAGCAGGCATGTGGAGTTAAAATACAAGCTCTCTGCAGCTCTATGACTGACCTTAACAATAAATCATATCATTTATTGCCAGAAGTGTATGCTTATGTTATTTCACAGTAAAAAACAAGCTCATATGTATTTTTTGCAGGAAGGAAATTCTGTTAGTTTATGTTTGATGATGTCACTAATGACTAAATGATATACAGAAGAAAAATTTCACATAAAATCTCCATCAATTTAAAAATGCTTGGATAACATAAGAAGGGAGAGAAAGTGTATATTTCCATTTCCCTTCAAGCTCTGCATATTAGAGAAAAAGACCACTTGCGACATTACTTCGTCACTGTGAATTTTTCTTACGTTTCTAATGCTGGCTTCCAACACAACACTGGGATGTAACTGCACATCCCTACTGGAATCAAAGGTCAAAGGCATAAATTAGAACACTGACTTTCTCCTTCAAAAATTCTATTGCTTTACTATAACAGCAGTCAGGCAGATTCTATTGAAGGTCAAATTCTGGTTCCCCATGCCCAACAATGTGCAAATAATTAATGGTATGGTCTCCCCGACATCCTATTTCACCTTAGGACATTCTTAGGTTTTTGGTCTAGAAGTACCCAGAGAACATTATGTAACAACACCACCAGCCTTGACATAGATAGCTGTTCTTCCAAACCCAGTCAGTTGTGATAGTGGCAGTGAAGTTGCCCTAATTCTTCCCTCTTGATGTCCCCTCTTCCCAGAGAGCAACCAATCCAAGTGGTCCTAGAAACTAGATATTCACTCTGGTCACCAACCCCAACCCAACCAGCAGTGGAAGTATGAATGTCTCAGAGTTCAGAGCCCTTCCCAACTGAGGCAAAGGCAGTGAGTACCGGGTTGTTTAAGCATCCTTCTGTGCACTGCACACTCCTGCGTGCTTTTGCTGAGCAATTCTTCGGAAATTGCAGGTGACAATATCCATGTTCAACTCATGCAGACTGCTATTTTTTCACTTGCCTCTCCCCCCAAAGCATAGACCGATTTGTAATACTCAAGATAGGACAAATTTTTGCCCTTCAAAAGCAGTTGTCACTGCCATTATCTTCACGAGAGCTATCAAGTTCCAGACAAGCTGAATTATTTTTTTTTTTTGTTCCTGGCAGAAAAATATTTGACCCAGCTCTGGACAAAAGCGAAGAGGATTTATAGCCCTCTCTCCCTCTTTGCAACATGCAGCGGCATTGTTAGGATGATAAACAGCACTGTCCAATTTTCTGGACTCAAACACTTCAACTCCTTTTTTAACTGTCTGCGAAAACAGTGTCATGTCTCCATTCCCATCCCCAGGTACCTGAGTGCTGGGAAAGATAATTACCTTGTCATCTTTGTCATCTTCTTCTTCCTCGTCCTCTAGCATGTCCTCCACTACCTGCAGACAGAAACAGAAGTCATTTTTGTGCTCTTTAAAGGAGAGAATTGTGTTCTGTCATTTTGAACCTTTTGGAAATGAAAACTTTATTAACATTTGAAACACATGCACTACGAGGCAATGTTTGATCTGGAGATGGAGATTAGGAAAATGCTCTGCTTTTAATTGATTAAAAGCAGGGAGCTAAAGCTCAGCACAGGGAATCCTGCTTATGTGAAATGTTTGTGACAAAGAATTTGAAGTTTTTGTAAGGCAAACTAACATTAATTTGGGAATGCTTAACATCAGAAACCCCTCCATACCTATTCTGCTATGTTAATCAGGCCCTTTAAATTTAGAGCTAGATAACTAGGCACAATGCAGCCTGCTATTTCTAATTTACCTTTCACCAAACTCTAAGATTAAAAAGAAACTAACTCTGATAATTGATTCATGCTGGTGGCATAAAACTAACAATGTCTTATGTGGCTAAAATTTTGATTCTTACCTGTAGAGCCAATTTGACTATCTTTGTATCACTTTTTAATTTTGAGTTACCTAAAATTCTTTATTCAAGTGCTATATTACAAGCATAGATATTAAAACAAAATTAGAAATGTAACAAGTATGCATAAAATGTTGGTATTACTCATGTAGGTAGATATGTATGTGTCTATTTTTTTTCCATAATTGTGTCTATTTTTTAATGGCTCCTAATTCACCTACCTCAGTAGAATAGAACAATCATTTTAGACTTGCCAAATAATTTCTCTTTGCCTCAATCAACATGTAAGAGCAGAAAATAAAAATAGACTTCATTCCAGTTGGGCTTTTAAAAACCAAAAATATAAAACCTCTAGGATGTAGAGTTCTTATTCAAGGAAGTCCTAACTTAGTGGGCTCATGACATTTTACATAATTTCTAAATTCTTACAGTGCTTTTTTCTAATTCAGTCTGAATATAACCAGAATCATAATTATCAAATATTTTTAAACCCCTCTCTCAAACCTTATAACTTTAGAGGATAGAGATACCAAGCCCTCCTTTCATGTGATTTTTTTGATACACATAGGAATAGTCTGAGTGAAAATGTCAATAACTAAGATTGTGTTATGCAAGGGGTTGTATAAACTGAGGTAATATTTCTGTTATTTCTAATATTTTCTTGCACATTTTCAAAGCATTAAGTGATTTAAGAGACTATCTGAAACCTTATTAACCAAAATATAATCCAAATCACTTGAAAATCTATGAAATTACTCCCAACTTAATGTATAATTAATATACATATTCTATTAGAGTAAAGGATTCTGTGGTCTTACACTTTGAAACAATTACAGTGGCACAACATGCTGTTTCTAATGTATGCTGAAAGCTCACACTAATTTGGGAACATATAAAGCAATTCAACCTCAATAAGAAAGATGAGCTCTTGATATTCTAACTGTATTCAGCCCCACCCCAAAAGCATTTACATTGGCCATCTAGTCCAAGGCTCATAGAACTCGGTAATAGGGCTATACAAAGACACATAACACATAGATATAAAGAGGGATATCAGATAAGTCTTCATGTTGACTTCTAAATTTCTCATATTTGCAATATTCACATCATGAATATGCAGTCAATAGTGATGACATTTAATTCAGGTGATATACAGCAGACTCTTCCAAATTGGGCTATTTGCCCATGGTGGTATGAGTTTGTATTTTTCTGGTACTGGAAATTGAACACAGGACCTTGACCTTGCCAGGGAGGTAGGTGCTGTGCCACTGAGCTGTGTCACCAGCACTCGGGGGCAGTATGAACAAGAAGAGCTGCTACAGTGCTTCAATACATTAGGTTGTATCAACAGCATTCCACAGTGTTCACACCGGTTTTACTGAAGGCAGAATGGTGTAGGACTGTGGCTGGACTGGAAGGTACATGGATGGTGTCCAAGAAACACTTCTCAACCCTTCATATCTTTGAAACACTCATCAATAAAATATCCATCCTTTATCTCATAGGCTTGACATAGCTCCCTGGGAGAGAAGGATACCTAATCAATGCTGGGGATTAGCCAACTGAAATATTCCAAATGTTTCCAAACATTTGCCTGGAGATAGCTGAATCCTTAATCTTTATTTGAAGGCTTGGGGTTCGCCACTATCTTTCTAATTAAGTGTGAAAATTGCAAAGCCACTAGCTGAAAGTATGCAGTTTTCAAATCATCAGTGGTTCTTATTCTCAAGAATGACTCAAAGAAGTCTACGGAATTGGGCTCTTGATTTGCAAAGCCCAAACTGTTGCTACCCTGCACGAGTGGGTAATTGGCTATGCACGATTGCTCCTCAAATGTGCAGCCAGGACCACCCAATACAGCCATTTGCCTTTCCATTTGGCAGAACAGTGTTGTGTTAGCAAGGGGCCTGTGTGTTGTGTGTTAGCGCTCTAGTGAGAGCTTTTCTCTCCTGCAGTGTCTTCTTAATGTTGTATCATGAACATCTACAAGTGAGAATTTATACTACAGATGGTTTCCTATTTGGGCCTTCAAGCCACTGCAGAATATATCCCCATATTGCATTTTGTTCAGGTGAATCTTAAGGTGCCTTGGAAAATAGGGATAATAGCCCCTGTCCCACAGGGCTGGTTAGGATCCAGAGAGGTCAGGTAGGTAAAGAGCCCAGGACAGCTCCTGTGTCAAAATAAGTTTTCAAAATCATTATTTATTAATTAAAATATCAATGCACCATTTTCGCCACTAATTCTTGGAAACTCAATTCTATCTTTTTTTACGGACACAATTTCCTTTGTTCTTACTGCTATAAAATTTTGATTCATGTTTTCACTGGAACTGTGCAACACCTAGAGGGATGCAGGTGGAGGTGTGGATACAGACTGCAAATTAAAACAATGCTTTTACCCTGATCTTTGCTTCAGTGGTCCAGTGAAATGGTTGGCTGAGAGGCCAAGAATATCTTGCAAGCTGAGCTTCACTTTAAGACATAAGCTTGGGCCAAATGCAGAGAGTATAGAAACTGCAAATTGAGCTTTTAAAAACAAACTGTATGTATCAGCGAGGTGCATTTAATGACTACACAAAATTGCAACCTTTCCCAGAGAACTCAAGTAACACCTGCTTTGTGAAAAAAGAGTGCTGGAGTTTAACACTTAACTAAGGAAAATAAATAAAACACAAGAGTCCTACTCTTAAATTCTAGATCTTTCCTCTTCAAATAAAGCCAAATAACCACTACATAGTTTTGTTTTTACAGATTTGAAGGCCGTTTGCCCAAACCTTTGTCAGCAATAATTTAATAATGCACACACGTAGGACTTCCTTTGGGGCCCAAAAATGAAAAGAAACAAAAAAAATGCATGTGTTAGAAAGGATGCATTTACAAAGTTGGGTTTTTTTCTCTTTTTTTCTTAAGGGGGAATATCTCAGTTCAGCTCTGGAATTCTCTTTCCAACTTATGCTTCCTGATACCTTGCTTGAAACCAAGTAGTATTAATCAAACAAAGGAAGGGCACTAGGGAAATCAGAAAGATGTAACGCAAGCAGTTAAAAGTGACATGACCTTCTGTAATGTCGCTCGTCACAGACTTATATGCCACACACTGGAGGAAGGTCTTGAAAGAAACTGATTCTTGGTACTATTCCTTGAATGTAATACTAATAAAGATGACATTTAAAAAAACACACATAGACAGCCCCAAATGCAGTGTGTGCTGGCTATATTACAGCCAGAGAATAAGCTGTTAACATTATTTAAAAAGCATAATATTTCTTCTTCCATATTCAATATTTGTTGAACATTTGTCATTAACATAAAAACATAACAGACAGTCACACATTATAAAAAACATTTTCAAAATGGAGCAAAATTGCATCCATAGTACCTACATATCTTACATAGTTTTAGTAAGTTTCTTTTAATGTTATGATGCTTTTAATTGTTACCCGGCACAACAGAACATTTTGTGATTTGTAAAGATATAAAATGCTAATAGTGACAGTAATCTAAATAAAACTATGACAGTACACTTGAAATTACTGTAGCAGACAAAGATGAATAAGAGAAGCTAACAGAAGGACGCAGTAAAAAGCAGGCCAACATACTGAAAGAATGAGAAAAAGTGGTAAACACCGTTATGAAAAATCATCATGCTACAGTGGGTATTAATTATTGCTTTTTAATACTGAGTCGGGGTGCATGTTTAAACTTGACTTGACAACAGGGAGTTAAGAGGAACTCGAATCATTCTTAAAACATAGCACATTCTGATTTTCCCAGGAATAATGGCTTCCACTTACTTAAATCCCTTTAAGCAAGAAAGAACCAGAAGAATCTTGGTTATGTTAACCTTGTTAAGTATTGAGTAATGTGAAGCCGAGCCTGACAGAAAGTGATTTCTTTTGTATGTTTACTTTTTTCCTTGAAAATAATCTTTGAATTAAATGGATGTTTTGCTCTGCTCAGAATGAATAGTTGCACAATTCAAATTGCTTTACTCAAACATGCTCTATAAAAAAGCAGCAAATTTAAATAAAAGAAGAAATCATTGCTGGCCAGATGTGCAACTGTAATGTTAAAATATTAAATAAAATTGTCACAAAAGAAGTTTCATATTTAATTTCATATTTATAGAACTTCCAAATGTGTACAGATGCTTATGTTTTTATACATCACAAACTAAATGTCTACTTCTACCCTAGAGATCTGAAAGAATTAGGGGAGAGTAGTATTTTCCAACATGGTCTGGAGTTCATTTATATCCGTGTGTCTATGCAAACCAAGAGATTATAATTTTGACAATGCATTCATTATACATATAAATACAATATTAAATTTTAATGTGAAATAGCTAGGGTTGGGATGATGCTTATAACTACATAAATGACTTCAGATTGTTTAGAAGTAGAGAGTTTGGGCTGAAGACTTTTGTGGTCATTAAGATTATAGGTGTACGTGCAAACATTTTTATAGGACATCTGCTTCTCACAAGATTTTTGAGAAGAAACTTCTGTGAAATG